CGCGGTGCGGTGGTGACGAGGGCGAAATGACCGGGAAAACGCCCGTGTTGTTGACGTATGGACTAGACGGCTCAGATGCCTGCGACTGCATGTCTGTTGCCGTGACAGGGGGCCAGGAGACGGTGGCGTACCCTTGACCAGCGTCGTTTGGCACGCTCATGTCTGCTGGGCACGACACGAACACGGGCGGATCTGCATCGAAGAAGGTGACGGCGTACTTGTTGGCATCAACAGGCTCGTCTGCATCATACAGATAGCGGAACCCTGCACGCATCCACGCGGAGCAATCAAGTTCGTGGCGTGCGTGTGTGTGCATGCGTGCGTGCGTGCGTGCGTGCGTGTGTGTATGCGTGTGTGTGTGTCACGTGAGTGCAATCGAGTGAACAGGCAAGAGCATCAACTCCACCCACCCCTGTTCATCCAAACAAGTGGCAACAAGGCATGCGACGCACGCACCAACAAAGGCGCCCGTCTTCGTTGTCCACGTGACGTTGGCAGACGGGAGGGTGGACACCAAGTCGTTGATGAAGCTGTCGTGGTTGTGGCGATGATGATTGTGATGATGATGATGATGAGTGGTGGTGACGATGACGACGATGATGATAGGCACAACAGCAACAACGGCAGCAGCAACAACGACACTGACACCAGGCAGACAGCCGGGAGTGATTCAAAGAGGTGCAAGGTGGAAAACTGGGTGACTGCACAGCAAACACCATGTAACAAACTTGCAGGTTCAACCCATCCACGGACATGGTGGTGATGGAGATGTTTGAAAACGCCATCTCTGATGGAATGATGGCCTGGCCAACAACGTGAATCTCGCCCGTTGTGTCCGTAAAGTCCATCTGATGGAGGGGGTGTTGAAGGCGTGGATGGATTCAACGCGGGTGTGAGTGGAAGCGGTGGCGCACATGGATGCACAGAATAGCGTGAGCTCCGAAGAAGGTCACGGCTCTGTTTCCAATCAGTATAACCGCACACACACACACACACACACACACACACACACACACACACACACACACACACACACACACACACACACACACACACACACACACACACACACACACAGGGACGCACGCACACAACATACCTGTGTGAAGTGGACGGTGAAGGAGAGGTCATGTGGTCCTGAAATCGCAAATGCGCCACCCTTCTCCTTTCCTTCTTTGTCTTCGGTTTCCTCCGCTTCACTCTCATCCTCTCCTTCTTCGTCGTGCAGCGCCGGAATGGACTCCCGGAAGATGGTTGCAGACAGCTTGGTCATGTCTGCAAGCAAAAGCCCACGGCATGGTGTGTGGAATGTGGCGTGATGAGCATTCAAAAACACACACTCGACGCGATGCGATGCACAGGCAGATCCCACTGGGACATGCAACGGTTGTCACACGCACGCACACACATGTTCATGCACACAAACATGTTCATGCACACAAACATGTTCATGCACACAAACATGTTCATGCACACACACACACACACACACACACACACACACACACACACACCTGTCTTGAGGGAGACGTCGCCGCCGTTAAAGTTGCCGGTTGCTGTCCAGCGCACGTCGACCAGCAGCTTGACCTCAGTCGTATTGGCCGTGTCCTGCACAACGATAGCGCGGCCCAAGGCGTCGCCAAACACGAGGCGAAGCGTGTTGTGCTGCGACACGTCCCCCTGTTTTGGAAGAGACAGGGGAGGGAGTGGAACAAAACCGCAATAGCGCAAGCCAGTGGGGGGTAAAGCATCGTGAGCACAGGCATGCAGGTGTTGCTGCCAGCCACACGAACCATGTGTTGCACACGTGTGCACTCGCTGGCATCGTGCATCCAACGCACCACAAAGTCGAGGTCGTGTCGGTCATTGAGGAGGTTGTAGTCGGCAGACTTGCGCTGCGCTTGTGTATATGTGCGATCGGCACGGGAAACTGAAATGTCGGTTTCAACATCAATGCTCAGCTCTTGCACTCGCACATCCACCTGGAACAAGACCAGCAGATGGTGGTGGTGTGGTGGAATCAGGGTGGCGGTGAGCGTCAGTGAAAACATGGAGAGAAAGGCGAGTGAACACGACGAATGCGATTGCAGACACACACAAACAAACACACGCACGCACACACACACACGCACACACACACACACACACACACACACACACACACACACACACACACACACACACACACACACACACAAAACAAACACACAAACAAAGGAGCAGGATGAACACACGTTGAATTCGCAGGTGCCGGTGGATGTGCCGTCCGATGCGGTGTATTTGACCGGATGCGGACTGGTGACAACATCAAACGACTCGCCAGAGACGTGCGTGGAGGACGACGACACAATCCCCACATTATCTGTGGGCACAATGTCCGGCCATGTGGCGTTGGCAGACGTCGCGCCGTGCGCCGCGTACACGACTACCGTCTCCTCTGGACACGTGGGAAACTCTGGCGGCTGAAGGTCCTGAAGCGTCACGGGCGCTTCAGCGAGGAGGTCAGAGGACAGCTCGCCCATGGTGTTGGTGAGCACAAAGGCGACGTAGGATGGGGAGCGCGGCTCCAGCTCAAGTTTCGACGGAAAACCAAAAGGAAGGAAGCCTCTCCTGTTCGCGGGCGCGAGTGGACAGCACGAAAGAGGTCAGCATGAGATGGGTGGAAGCAGCAGCATGACAGGACAGTGACGTGGCGATGCGCAGAATGCGCAAGGCATGTTGAATTGAAATACGCACGAGCAACGTGCGCACAAATCCACACTCACGGTGCCGAGACGTCAAAATAGGCGTTGTCGAAGAAGAAGCGGCGGGTGACGGGTTCGCTCACACCAGCAAGATGCACACAGCCTGTGAGGAGGTCGATGGACCGCTGTGCAAGCTCAAGCGTCACATCTGGCACGCGGTCGCTAGAAAACTTGAGGTTGACACCTGAGATGACATCCCTGTATGTGGGGTTGTCGGGGAAGGCCACGCCCTTTGGGCAGAAGCGGATATCAAAGGCAACACGGAGCTCAGCAAAGGGGAAGTCTTCATCATCAGGAGGCGACACCACAAATGGTTCGCCGAGGAGAGAAGTGATGCTGATGCGAAATGCGGCGTCGCTGCTGCGAATCGTCAGATCCTCCAATGCGGACAGCGCATCTGGTGAGACAAAGGGAAGGAAAGGAGAAAGGGATGAGAGACTGTGAGTCAAGGAAAAGGTGCTTGCATGCAATGATTCAACGTGGTCAACATAAACGCGTCATGACAGCACACACGCACAAATGCACACACGCGCGCACACACACGTGCACATAAACGCACATTCACGCAACACAACACAACACACACACACACACGACACAGCGCACCTCCAAAAAGATTCTCGATGAGGAAGACGGTGACGGCTGAACCGCCAGCGGATGTGGACAAACTGCCGACCGAGATCTCCATCCCACGCACCACCCTCACCTGACAGTGGTGTGTGTGTGTGTGTGTGTGTGTGTGTGTGTGTGTGTGCGTGTGTGTGTGTGTGTGTGTGTGCGTGTGTGTGTGTGTGTGGTGTGTGTGTGTGTGTGTGTGTGTGTGTGTGTGTGTGTGTGTGTGTGTGTGTGTGTGTGTGTGTGTGTGTGTGTGTGTGTTGGGGTGGGGGTAGCATGGGTGCGAAGTTAAGCAAGAGTGAGAGGGAGACATGGCATTGAGAGTGAGGAGAATAGCAGAACACCGCCGCTGTTATCGCCACGACCCGTTCACACACCACGCGAGAACGAAACACGTGCACGTGCACATACGTCGGTTGAGCAGGTGATGTTGTCGCCGTAGTCAAATGGGCCAACAGTGAAGGTGACAGCGGTTGTGCCAACAGAGAACTCGTGCGTGGGCGCTGTGGGCACGCACACATATGATGCGGTGAAGCGTTCAGGGTGAATGACTTGAAAAGCAGATGTGACAGATATAGTACACGTAGAGCACGCACCCATGCACACAGGTGTTGGCAGGCATACGAGAGACACACACACAAGCTTCGTGAACGTACGTGGAGATGCTGTGATGCCGACGTTCGCATCGGAAACAACGGTTGGGTATGCAAACGGAACTTTGGTCCTCTTTGACGTCGGAATGGTCACACTCACGGGAGGCGCGCATTCCTCAAAGTACGGCACAATAATCTATTCATCAAGAACATTGTGTGTGTGTGTGTGTTTGTGTGTGTGAGTTTGTGTGAGTTTGTAACACCAATCGATGATAAAACGATTCAACAGATGTGAATGCACGGAACGTGAGATGTACGCACCCTGAGAGTGGTTTGGTTCGTGCACGGGCCAGGTGTTTCTTGGATGGCGCCTCGCTCCAGTACACGACACGTGGATCGCCCATCAGAGGCTGGAGTTATGCGTCGTGCGTGGTGAGTGAGGAAGTGAAAAGGCACACATGTCTCGGCGGTCAACAGAAAACACACACACACACACACACACACACACACACACACGCACACACACACACACACACACACACACACACACACACGCACACACGCAACACACCTGTGATGTGGATGTCGAATGTGCCGTTGCCGCTCCAGGGGCGTTTGAGGAAAACGGCGGAGGAAGTGACGGCGATTGCATCGTCGTAGTCCGCTGGGACAGTGAACAGCAGCGGGCCCTCACCCGATGGCTGTTGAGGTGGTGTGGTGGTCGATGGAGGGAGGCGGTGAGCCACACGAAGCAACGGCATCAATGAGATATATGAGCACATTCCATTTGAATCACTCTGACACACACACACACACACGCACACACACACACACACGCACACACACACACACACGCACACACACACACACACACACACACACACACACACACACACACACACACACACACACACACACACACACACTAGCATAGGCACGCGAGGGCGCAGTCGAAGCACATGCGCAAACCCAAGTCAGGGCTACGGTACCAGGTTTGGGTCGATGAGGGAGGAGACGGTGGCAATGGGCGTCTCTGTCGGCGCTGTGGAGCTAATCACAAGCTCACTCGGGAACACGGACAACAGCGGCGGCACATCAGGGACTGTGGTGGAGATGGCGCGGGGGGGGGGAGAGAACGCGCCGCAAGAAAGAGATATGTTAGCGGTGATAGCGAATACACATTGCAACACCAATGGGTACCACAACGACACGACAATGATGACAACGATGACGACATGACAGTGGGAGCACTGCAGCAGCACCACACGCAGCAATTGAAAACATGTGTCCTGTTTGAGCATGCAACCAACCAATGCATTCGTTATCGTAGAGGACGGTGCTTGGGATGCACGTGACGCATGTCTCCAGCACGTATGTAATGCGGGACGACTGTTGCTGCAAAAGCACCACATTCAGCGGATCCTGCAAGTCACACAGGAGCAATCATTTTGATACGTGCGTGTGTGTGTGTGGGGGGGGGGTTGAGAGAAGATGTGATAATCAGTTGATGAAGAGAGGAAGCCTGCAACTACAAATGCACACACACACACATACACACATGCGCACACACGTGTACGCACACATGCACACACCACACACACACACACACTCACTCACCATCTGCATGTCAAAGAAGCAGCATTCGCCAGTATCTGCTGCGTGCGAGAATGCGTTGCAGGAGGGCACGTTGCGGCACTGCGCTGCGCACGAGCCAGGCGTTGACGCAAGGCCGCAGTCGAGAGGTGTTGACTCTGGGCGGCCACGACCAACCAACACTGAGCCTGTTTTTGGCAGTTGAAGGCAATGATGCAGATGGGGGGGGGGGATTCAGGGTGGAGCAAAGGCAGTCATGAGGGTTGCATAGTCAGCAGCAGCGTGTGCAGAAGTAAATCAAAGAATCGGCGGGAAGAAAAGATACGGGCATGCGAGCGTGTACTTATCAAAACGAAAGAAACACATGTATAAGCACACACACACACACACACACACACACACACACACACACACACACATACACACACACACACACACACACACACACGAACCAATCGAGTTGAAGGCGCCATCTGGGTTGGAGAGGCAGTCGGTGCAGTCTTGAATGGAGCAGGAGCACGCGTACTGCGAGTTTGGGCTCTTGTTGTTGCGGCACGGGAATATGCCTATTTGGTGTTTGCATGTGTATGTGTGTGTGCATGTGTGTTATGTGTGCACGAGATGAAAAGGATGGGTGGGTGAGTCACTAAACTGACAATGAGGTGGTCTTGCACACACACACACACACACACACACACACACACACACACACACACACACACACACGCACGCACGCACGCACATACACACGCACGTACGCACGCACATACACACGCACGCACATACACACGCACGCACGCACGCACATACACACATGCACACAAACATGCCTGGTTGTAGAACTGCTCATCCGTGCATTCTGAGCACACGCGGTCGGTTGTTGGTGTTGGCGGCAGAAGCTCCGCAAAATCGCAATCTGTGAGCGGTTTGCATTCTACTTGAAACACCTGTTGTTGCAATCCAAAACATGTTGGTGAGATCTGAGCCTTTCAGCACTCGCACAACGCACTTTCTTCCTTTCTTCGCAGATGCACCATTACCACAGTGGTCCCACGTCACACTCAGGCTCACAAGCTCACACGAGGAGCATCAACGGGAACTGCACGACACATACGACACACTGACACACGACGCACACGACACGCACAACAGACGAACCTCGTCTTGGTATTCGACGCCATTCACGCAGTCAGCACAGGCTGTGCCGTCGCGGCGAGTGCCAGCCGGACAAAAAGGAACTGCACGCGGGATGGTGGAGCATGAAAGACAACGTCTGTCATCAGCAACAACAAGCAAGCTGGCCAAAAAATCGCGAGGCAAACATGCCATACACGCGTGTGCACACAAACACGCGCGCACATACAAGCAAACAAGCCACCCAGAACCAGAACCCCCCCCCACACACACACACGCACACAACAAACAAACAGATGCACACACACACACACATACATACACACACACACACACACGCACACACACACACTCCGTACCTGTCAGTTTTGCGAGGCGGTACGGCCCGTTGTCGTTGCTGCTGAGCACGACGTACGCAAACTTTGGGCTGGTGTCAAATCCCGTGGTTGAGATGATGACCGAATCAAGATCTACACCGCCCTCTGTGAACCCGGAGGAAAACGCTTCCACCTCAAACTCAACTTGGACAAGCACCAGCGAGCCATCGACCCAGTCTGCAAGCAGGCGCGTGTGAGTGCGTGTGCGCGGGTGAGTCGAGAACGCTGACCAAGGAACAAGGTGAAGTTGTTTCAACGCCCGTCCCCTGTGCTTTGCAAGCACATGAGCATGCAAGATGCAAAGAAACAGAAGCACACACACACACGCACGCACACACACGCGCACACGCACACACACACACACACACACACACACACACACACACACACACACACACACACACACACACACACACACACACACGCCAGCAGTACAACACGCACCGAGATTCAGCTGCAGGATACCGCCTGTTTCGCCACCCACAGCAACACAGGCAGCACAGCCGACCAGCAGGTCTGGAAACACGTTCCCTGTGCCAAGGTACCCGGGGAGAAGCGTCAGCGAAATGAGACTGAAATCCAGCATGTCTGATGGCGACGCCCGGGCTGTGATGTCGCTTGCCAAGAGGGTGTCCACCTTCTCCGACGCGATGTTGCGATCTGTGTGCATGCACGCGTGTGGAAAAGTGTGGGTCACGCGGTTAGAGCAATGCCTGAGTTTGCACGAGTGCTGACAACAAGCTTGCACGGCTGCAACAGTCGCTAGAACAATGAGGCTGAGCAAGAACACATGCAAGCGCTGGGGGGGGGGCTTGCCCGTGCCAGCACCGTGGTGAGCGCTACTGGCGCGGCGGGAGATGCAAGCGGGGCACAAATCATGGCGCACTTGCAAGTGCACATGTGTACGTGCGTACCTGATGTGGTATTGAACAAGTGGAGAACAAACGCTTGCTCCATGCTTTGCATATCTCCTGCTGCATATGCGATCATGTCCATGCCATCGTTGTACAGGTAGGCAAGGCTGCTGCCGATGCCTTGGAGGTTTGTTGGAACCGATGAGAGGAAGGCGTGATCCACCACGCCAAGGTCATCTTTCAGATACAGCAGCACGACCTGTTTGGACGTTGGCGCGCTCACAACCAGATCCAAGATGCCTGACGAAACGGGGGCGAGGTGAGAAGGCGTGGTGAGCAGAGGTGAAAACTGAACGAAAGAGAAGAACAAAAAGGGGAGGGACAATGATGAAAACCAAAAGAGAAGGAGCCGAAAGCGAGCGCAGGAGCGCAACCGAGAGGAGCGATCATCTATGGCCACTTTGACAACACCAAACTCGATCAGGCGCACATCGCCCACGCATTCGCACTTCGCACTTCACATACCATTGCCGTCGAGATCACGTGTGACGGCGACGGCGGCGCCAAAGCCAGAGCTGGTGCCAAGGCTCAAGTCCACGGCAGAAATGGAAGACTTGGGAGAACTGTTGACTTGACCAAAGACTGGCGTTCGAACGAACGCAGGAGAAGCACGCAGCCAATCAATCAGACAACGCAAAAAAAAGGGGGGGGGGGAAATTCTGCCAATTACAAGGGAAGGCAGCATGCATGCATGTCCGGCACACACACACACACACACACACACACACACACACACACACACACACACACACACACACACACACACACAACGTTTCAACTTACTGTCCATGACGTAGATTTCCACGCCGCCACCATTGAGCGAGGAGCTGAACGGCTCTGCTATGACGAGCTCCGCTGTTGAATGAAACCATGACCAAGGCACACCAAATGTGAGACACTGCCTTCACGTTTTACACATAACCCTTGCCTGCAGGCAATCAATTGGTCGTTGCGACACCCCAATCAACCCACAAGCACGAGCAGTGAACCTGACACCACACACAGCGACAACCTCCCCCCACCCCCACCCTCGTCTATTTCGCATACTTGTGGAGCCATCGCCGTCCAAGTCTGCCGCTTTGATGTCGGAGGGAGGGGGCATGATCATGGGATTGAACACGCTGTTGGAGAAAGGGCCGCTGGTGGTTGCAGTGGACAGATAAAACTTTGGTGGAGTGCCGCCGTCCAAAGACACCACGTCCAGCAACCCATCGAAGTTTGTGTCGAAGGTGGTGACAGTCTTGCCGCGGTCAGATCCAGGCTGCTCCTCAAATGTGTACGATGTATCCGCGACTTGTTCGAAGAGCGACTCTGCAATCACAAAAGCCGCGCATGGATGGATGGTTGGTTGGTGATGGTTGGGCAGCAGGCGTGAGGTCGGTGACTCATTTGAGGTCAGCCAATGTGCTTGCAAGCAAGGCACACATGGAACGAGAACGTGACAAAACAACTCGTGACACAACCCATGACACATCACTCCCCCTCCCCCCGGCGCAAGCACGGCAGTCTGTCAAGCAGTGCATGCACACGGTACCTGCAGAGACTGTGTTGGTAGGGCACGCCAAAAGTAGCAGTGCCACAAGCAGCAGCAACGCTGCTGTCAGGTGCAGCTTGGGCTGCATCTTTGCTGCTCCAGAGGGGCGTGGAACGCGCGTCTGCTGCTTGTGTAGACTTGCTTGCGTCACAAATCGGCAAGCTACGCACACGCCACACAAGTGGTCTGAGCTGGTCTGCAGCGTGCAGAGATCCTCAAGCGGCGGTGGTGGTGGACGGGTTTGAAACAAGGAGAGATTGCAAACAAGGAGAGGGTGTCGGAGCAAGGAAACCCGAACAAGTGAGCAAAGCACGAAAGGAAGGAACAATGTACACTCCACTACACTCGCACTCGTGTGGTGGTGTTTGAGTGGGTGAGGTAAATTGCAAGGTAGTTGAAACGCAGCAGCACAAGGACAGCAGCAGAGGCAAATGCACAGAGGGTCAAGCGGGGAAAGGGAGGGTGTTGTGGTGCAGGGAGATCTGTGGGTATGGGAGGTGGGGTGCGATTCAAGCCACAAGACAAGCAAGCCACAAGGAAAAGCGCACAAACACTTCAGCACTTCGCAGCAGCAGCCAGCCACGCCAGCCGAACAAAGGAGGGGAGGAGGAGCGCGTAGATGATTCCTGAATAATTTCCACCAACAGTCGTTGCCACTGTCCTTGACTGTCCTCTTCGCTACGTTAAGGCAAAGGAAGCAACGCTGTTGATTGGTTGGTTTGGTGTGCCACGCCATCCACCCACCTCATCAGCGTCAACAAACGCACGAAGCAACGAACGCAAGCAACGAACGGACGCAACAGACCAAGCAGTCGACGTCAACCGACCCTCGGTCCGTCGTCATCCCAAGTCGTGCACGATGGATGCAGCACGAGGAGGAGATGGTGGCGACGCCAGCGAAGAGCATCGCACCACCACCACCACCACCACCACCACCGATGATGAAGGGCATGCGCAGGTGTTTGATTCACTGGCGTACTTGGACTTCAACCAGGGCGGCCACCAGCGCGTTGTGAGGAATCAGCTCACCCCCGACACAGAAACGACGTTCCGCATCCTCGTGCTGCTGCAGCGGGATGCGCTGGCGTTGCCTGGACAATCCGTGCCCATCCGCGAGGGCGTTGGGCAGCGCATGGAGGCGCTGCGCGAGGTGGTTCGAAACCCGGGCGAGGTGTTCCTCGGCATCGCCTGTGACCCTACCATGACGGGCTCCTTCAAGTTTGGCACAGTGATGGAGATTAAGCGCGTGCAGCAGCGTGAGCACGACATGGTGCTGCTCACCAGGGGCGCAGACCGCTTTGAGAAGCTGCGTGACCTCGACATCCCAGACCACGAACCACACCGCCCCATGCGAAGCGTGGTGTGGGCGGAGGCACGCATCGCGCGCGAAAGGGCAGTGCACATGGACACCCTCGTGCACAAGCACATGCGCAGGCCCAACTCGGCCGCCATCCACGGCATGGCCGCCCCTCCCTGGCTGTGCCAGCTCATGAGCACGGAGTACCTGAAGCAGCGCGCGTACTCGCTGCTCGTGGAGAACCTGAGCTGGGGCGGGAACCCAAGGCACGTGCCTGGCCTGCGTCACCTCAACCCAAGCCAGTTCTCCTATGAGCTCATGCGTCAGCTGCCACTGACCCTGGAGCAGCAGCAGCGCCTCTTACAGGACAGCAACGTCAACACGCGCCTGGTGCACTTGATCGACACCCTCTCCATGCAGCTGCAGGAAGGCAAGTTGCGCTGCAAGACGTGCGGCCTGCACATCGCCTCCAAACATAACCTCATCTCCATCATGTCCGAGGGGAACCTGGGCACGTTTGTCAACCCGCACGGGTTTATTCATCAGATCGTCACCCTCCAAAGCGTTGAGCACTGCGCGCAGCTGTCACGGCCCACTCTCCAAGATACCTGGTTTGAAGGTGCGCTTGTGTGTGTGTGTGTGTGTGTGTGTGTGTGTGTGTGTGTGTGTGTGTGTGTGTGTGTGTGTGTGTGTGTGTGTGTGTGTGTGTGTGTGTGTGTGTGTGTGTGTGTGTGTGTGTGTGTGTGCGTGCGTGCGTGCGTGTGTGCGTGCGTGCGTGTGTGTGTGCATGTGTGGGGGGGGGGGAGGGGGAGGGCTGTGCGAATGTTCGTGGTTGTGTTGGTACATAGTGTGTACGTGTCGATGTTGTGCGGGTCGTGTTCCCCTCCATTCATTTCCTCCTGTTCTCTGCCCATCATTCTCATCATCAACAACACACACACACACATACACATACGCACACACGCACACACACACACACACATACACACACACTCTCTCACACGCGCATATGGGTGATAGGGTACGCGTGGAGCATTTTGACGTGCATGCTGTGCGGCACACAAATGGGGTGGCAGTACGACTACACGGGCGACGACGGGCGAGGGCTACAGCAGTTCTTCGGCCTGTGCCGCGCCTCGCTCAACTTTGGCGACTTCCCGCTGGAGGCACAGCCGCGCGCGAACACGAGCATGAGCGGAACGCTGCGCTTGCTCGATGCCGTGGGATCTGGCCAAGGCGCGAGCGAATGGAGAGAGTTGGCAGCGATGATCTTGGCAGGCGCTCCCAGTGATGATGATGATGATGACGATGACGACGACGACGATGATGATGATGAAGGTGATGAAGGTGATGAAGGTGATGAAGGTGATGAAGGTGATGATGTCGCCGATCGTGATGGCACGGATCTTGGTGACGGGGACAACGCTGCTGATGATGGTAGTGATGATATGGACGAAGAAGAGGATGCAGGAGAAAGCAACGAGGAGGCAATTGAATAAATGGCGGTATTGAACACCTTGTCGTGCTCGCAATCTTGAGGCCTGCCGTCCATCGTGCCGTTGCCCATCCATCTTAACATAAAACCAGCAGTCACGCAACCAGCAAGAAAGCAAGCAAGCGTAAAGTTGGCATTCTCACGTCTCACGCCACAATCAAGTTGTTCTTATGCAATTGTGCGCTCTTCTTTGCTTGTTTGCTTGGGGTAGCTGGTGGACTGATGTATTTGTTTTCGGGTTTGGGCTTGGCATGACTGGCGTTGTATCACATACACTCACACAAAGCAACAACACTCGCCGCAGACAAAGACATGCATGCAACCTGTTCGCTGTGACAAAGACAAGTCTATCAAATCCACAAACCACACACACACACACACACACACACACACGCACTTTTGACGCACGGAATAACGATCGCAGCAGTCGCACCAGCCACGCACGCAACAGAGCAGTTAGAAGTTTGCACCAAGCACAACGTCCTGCTTTGCAAGCTCAAGCAGCATGGGGTCATCAAAGAACTTGTTCACGCTCACGTCGTCGCTCAGGCCCTTGCGGCGGCGAGACTTGACCATAAACTCGCGTGCAAGGTGCGGCGCCGGCTGAGGCTCCAATGGCTTGAGCACAATCGACTTGTCCAGTGGGTCGCCAGGCACAATCTGCCAGTGGTCAAACACAGACAGGCAAAACGCCTGCCCTTGCGTGTGCGTCCGCAAATCCGTCTCAAACCCAAATGAATCAATCGCAGGAATGTACGCCTGCAATTCGTTGTGTGTTCATGTGTGCGTGAGAGAGAGAGAGAGAGAGTGTGTGTGTGTGTGTGTGTGTGTGCATGTGTGCGTGCGTGTGTAGGTGTGAGAGAGTGGATGGGTTGTGCTGATAAAGTACCAACAGCAACCACAACGGCAACCACAACGGCAACCACAACGGCAACCGGCAGAGTCACGGCTCGTCCGCTGCACCTTGACGTTGTAGAGCGGCGAGCCAGCCTTTGGTGCATCCTGGGTGACGTGCCCGCGACGGCGCGCAAGCACAGTGTACACCGCAGACACGCAATCTGCGCAAGCAAAAGCACAAGCATGTCGGGGTGATAACGATGATGAGCTTGAGACAAGGGCAACAATCATCACCGCAAGCAAGTCAAAAGGCACACACGAAACCACACACAGACACACAGGAGCACAACCACACAGGTGCACATATAATCACACAACCACACAATCACGCACCTCCTGGGGCCTGGATCTCGACGTAGTAGTAGGGCTCCATGAGGCGTGGGGTGGCCATGAGGAAGGCCGAGTACGCCACGCGGCGTGCAGTCGGGATAATCTGCCCGCCAGCGCGGTGGATCGGCATGTCCGCAATCGCCGCATCAAGCAGCTTGAACTTGGTGTTGCGCATCGGCTCATCGCACAGCGGGCCCTCCCTGTGTGTGTGTGTGTGTGTGTGTGTGTGTGTGTGTGTGTGTGTGTGTGTGTGTGTGTGTGTGTGTGTGTGTGTGTGTGTGTGTGTGTGTGTGT